GATATGTAAAGACTGTTGGTTAAAAAATGACGAGTGGCGCAAAATCATTAAAACTTTTGAAACGATATACTTTGCATGATAATTCGAAATTTATCATTTGAACAGTAGCCTGGACAATGAGAATGTTTTGACATTTTGAGCTCAAAGTTGAAAATAAACGCGACCTATATATCCTTATAATACAACGGTATCTGTGGTTCCAGTTCACTAATTGCCCATTGCATGATTATATCTGGCATCTATCGACCTTGTTAAGATAGTTTTTACGCGAAGATTACAACTCTTTAAGTTTCTATCAACATGTTGTATGTTTGAGTTAATAACTTCATATTGAAAACAATTAGCTAAGCTAAGAATTACCTTTTTAAATTATGGTTAGGTTTGTGCTAGTTAAGTTTATAAATAAGAACTTCCTCGGTTAATTCAGTCAATGTTAGCAAAAATTTCTGTTAAGTTTATAAATAAGAACTTCCTCGGTTAATTCAGTCAATGTTAGCAAAAATTTCTGTTAAGTTTATAAATAAGAACTTCCTCGGTTAATTCAGTCAATGTTAGCAAAAATTTCAGTTAAGTTTATAAATAAAAACTTCCTTGGTTAATTCAGTCAATGTTTGCAAAAATTTCCGTTAAGTTTATAAATAAGAACTTCCTCGGTTAATTCAGTCAATGTTAGCAAATATTTCCGTTAAGTTTATAAACAAGAACTTTCTTGGTTAATTCAATCAATGCTAGCCAAGAATTTCAGTTAAGTTTATAGGCAAAAACTTCTTCTTCTTACTAGATCCGCCGCTTAGTGAACTAAAAACACGCTTCTTGGGATTTTTGAATCTTGTTTAATGTTTTTGATTTGTTAGTAAACAACTCTTTGGAGTGTGTCTAATTCTCGCAGGTCGCGGGTAGGTTTAAAAAACTTTAATTTGTATTGAAAAGTTCGTGCAAAGTTGATGTTACCTGAGCTCTCGGGAGTCTCTATTTCTATGTATGCTCCTTTGAATGTGCTCTTGGTGTCAACTGAACAATCAATCATTCAAGAATCACTTTAGATACATGGTGTTAACTTGAAAATCACAAGGTATTATGACATCGAAGAGCTATATTGCCTATTGTAAAAATTTAAATGCATTGAAAAATGATATACTTACTTAAGCCATGAAACAGCGAATATAAATTAATTGAAAGCTGTAAGTATATTTATAATATACGCATTTTGTAAATCCTGTAATTATAGAGATGCAAGGTTGGATCAGCGCCCACAGTCAAAATAAATTATAAAGGACTTCGATCAAGCTATACGTAGGTATGTTTGTTTGAATAAAATGAATCGTTAAAATAATTCGACGTCTGCCGTAAGAAAACCGGCTACCACTTTCAAATGTTCACGACGGACAAGTTTTTTTGCAATAATAAGTTTTGAACCATTACAAAAGTTTCGTCGAAATAAAACTTTGATTATATATATTTGTTATGACTGAATATGTAAGAGCACCTTGATCCAATCAGACGTTAACATGCATATTCTCTTTTACATAGTAGCCATGCCAACATACCAAGCTTCATAACATTCAAGATTTACTTAAATACAATTAACTCGTGCAACGCTAATGAAACACTTATTTGCAAGAGAAAGACAATTTGTAATTATGGAAAGTGTAAGTTATACACATAATCTAAACATAAGTTATAAGCTGGGTGCTTAGAACTTCAAGTGTATGTATATAAGGGCCTATTCATATGAGCCGGGCTGGCCCGCTTTACCGAGCTTGCCCGGCAGTAGCAAGATCTCACGTCTTTTAGTATTTACATATAATTTCAAATTTGATTCATATGAGAGACGGACTGGCCCGTTTTACCGGGATGTCGCTTAAACGAAGCGGGATCTTGTCATAAACGGGCTCATGTGAATGCACAAGGCGGGCTAGACCGGCATGCCGAATTAAACATCGTACTAGTGCGCATGCTCATAAAATTCAATGCGATGCAAAATACAAGGCAAGCAAAAGAACAACTTTCCGTGGACCATAGACTAATGCATAACATCATTGAGTTTCTTTTAGCTTATAAAAGTAACATCAATAATTGGGATTTGGACTTTTATGCCTCGTGAGTAAATAATTATTACTTTACTTTGTCGGGCCAGCCCGCCTCATGTGAATGAAATAATAAACTGGCCCGTCAAATTCGGCCAGCCCGGATCACATGAACAGACCATCAACTAATAATAATTCATTATTTATTGACATCACATTTCTTTGACTTAAAAACACCCGTCATACTATGTCAGAGACTCAGAGGTAAAATTTACTCAGCAAACGTACATTTAACTTCATCGATCAGATGCCTTTATTTTGACAGTCGTTGTTGATCTTACGGCAGGATAGAAGCAAACAATACTTCCACTTTATAGAATTTTTTTGTGTAGCGCATATCTTATTACGTATGTAATAAGCATGCGTAGAAGCGCTGAGGTGACCAGCCGCAGCCAGTAATTTAATTAAATATACAGCCCAAAGTTACACGGTAAAGTGAGACTACTGTTTCTTTCTATAGACCATTTGCACCTACGTCATTAACATCCTAGCAATCGTTGTTAAGGCGCATCTGGAGGACAAGCATCAGCACTGACAAGCTGACAGCACATGCACATGTTTTGAATATAGTATGGCAAATCTTTTCCGAAAACCTATAAAGCCAAGAAAAGCTTGCTTTCTGGCTACACGAACTCATTTGTTTCTGCAGACTGTAAAGAACATTAGTCAGTAGCCAATCTTGCAGCATTTGTAATTATAGGATTTACAAACTTTAGATATATTATGAGTACAACTTACATTCTCCCACCTTTGAAGAACTGCTTATCCCTGGTAAAACTGTTGATATGTCGTTTTCAACTGCATTGAATTTTTACAATAGGCTTGGCCTTCAATCTAATATTTTGTCAGTGTCAAGTTGACAACAAATCTAAAGTTACAGCTATCTGAATAATTCTTCAATGATTAATACTTGGTTACTAAGTATGAATGATTTCAAATAAAAACCGCCATAAACTACTTTAAATATAATATATATGTTAATTTGGATATGCATGATAAACACAAATCATGAAATTCGAACGCTCTAGTGACATACTTTAATGTTGACAGCAGAGAGCTTCGACTCCAAGAGAACATTCAAGTGAGCATACATAGAAACAGAGACTTGTGAATTCAGCGTCCACTTCGTTCAAACACAATCAACTCTTTGTCATTCAAACTTTCGTGAGATTTTTCTTTGAGATCATATTAAAGCACCACATATATTGCTCTTGTAAAGCAGTTAAATACGATTGGGGTGTTGCGATTGTGGTTGTGTTTAGGGGTTTTATATTCTTGAATTGCAACAAACCTCCAGGGACTTATCCAACAATGTGGCTCACCCAAAACGGCTAGTGCCCACAATAGCACTAGTAAAATGCTTTTAAACGTGTAACTGTGTAAGCATTAGTAATGTGAAAACTCATTTCATGTCCAAGAAGACGAAAACAGTCACATTACAAACTCAAAAAGCCGCAGTCGTTTTGAGTATGATTTGATTACATCAACTTCATTTAGATAAACATGTTAGAAACTCATGTTTCATCAACATCATTGATTGCAACAATATTTTTTATTATTTCATGAAATGATTACAGTTTTCTAGACTTCTAGCTATGACAATTTTTTGCACATTTTCTCATAGTTAACAACGAGTGTAAATGTTTAAGACATATTACATGACGTATTGACATTGATATTGATCATTGCCGTGAAATTATAAATATTTATGAAAATTCTTCATGGTTTGATTTTCATTTCACTGGTTTTCACGTTATTAAAACCAAGCCAAGCAAGATTTTTACCATTTAGGTTGCTATAATAACAATTTTTATACCACCAAGCACCTTGCCAGTAAGCAGCGCAGTTTCCTTCATCATCGGAATCTTTTGTTGAAAACGCCGTGTCTTTATGATAGCTCAATGCATCCCTAACATTTCCTGAAAAGTAGTAATGGCTCTTGAGCTCTGTCGTGATCTGTATTTTAAAGTACACATGAACACATTTTGGTGTTAATTATTCCGATAGATCTTAAAAAGGTTATTTAGAAAATTCTAAATTTCATTTTGGGTATTTAAATTTCGGTATTTTGATAGCCTGATTTAAACACAGGACTCGACCAAAAAGAGAACTTATTGAATTTATGTTATGTATAAATTTTTTTAGTCCAAGCTTAAAATTTTACATGCTTTAAAAGAAAAAATCTTTTCATCTCACGGAAATTTACTAATATACCGTTTTTTTTGCGCTGTGATGCTTGCGTCATTCCCTTCTTTGGTTATATAAAGACAAAACAAAAGAAATTCGACGTAAAAGTGCCAAAATACGAGCTGTACTTGTAGATAATATGCAGACAACCGTTCGTCTTTCACAGGAAATTAAATTTTTCTTTTAAAAATAATCTTGACAATGTATGGTAAATTTTTTAGCTGTAAAGGTGGCATTTTTTGTTGTGATTGACATTCTTTACGATAACTAGCAACGGAAACTTAAATATTTCTTACACCTTTTGCAGGTGCTAAGGTCTTTATGCAAAAGCAAAATTTGATTTAAATAATTTAAAAGCCTAAAGCAGTGTTTCAACAAGACAAAAATACTTTTTTAATAATGTATCACTGTTTGTTAAGCTCTATTATGAGTTTAAAAGTAAAGAAATACACAAAAATGCATTTTTCCAGTGTATGATCCAGTGTAATGATATGATCCAGTGTAATGACGCCAAGGCGCGAAACTTTATAAGATTATTCAACTACAAAATGAAAATCATGTTAAAACCACGAGAAGTTAAACTTGAATCCTAACTTCATTAGTATTTTCTCTGATAGCATAATTTTTAATTTTGTAAATATGCATTAAAGATGACCTTTAAGCGAAAATCTAAAAGGTAAGAATTCTAAAATTTGTCACTTGATTCCAATTTGTCCTATCACTACTATGGTATGGCGTATGGGTGAAACATGTTTACTGTTGGTTGACAATATTGGTGATTAATATAGCAGGGACGATTTTAATATTAGAATTTATTATTTTTATTGCCTATTATTTTATATTTTTTAGATGTTGATCGTCCAGCTTTGTGCAGTCCTGAAAAGAATTCTTGGTGTTGGTGTGTTACTTGACTCTGATGATCAAAGGATGTCAAAATATCAATCATTAACAACACCAACAGTCATTTTCAGGACTGCTCGAACCTTGAAGATCTACATCTACAAGCATTTAGCTTTACTCATGTTTTATTTTTCACCATCATCTTTTGTAGGAAATGGAGAAAAAATGTTAATTATACTGATATGAGCTCCAATTGTGAAAGTGATGGTAATGTATTGTACATACAGTGATCTCATAGCTACGTAGCTATTAATGAAAATTATAATTGCTCTGTTTTACAGTAAAGTATGTGGTTATACACTCTGGTTTACATAGGTAGGAGAAGGGTACATTTTATATTGTATCAGTTTACATGTACCTACATAGACACTGTTCAAAAATACTGATGCAACAAATGTGAATGTAGGCCCCACAATTATTTACTGGCTGCATGATTGATCTAGTGCACTATTAAACATTTTACATTGTTTTATTGTGAAAAGTTGAGATTATTAATTTGGTAGATATGCAATAAATATATACGGGGATCCATACTTTACTTCCTTTTCAATGTCATGCCTGCATGTTCTATAGATTTCTCTTGTTTTAAATTGCTAAGTTTTGTATTTATGACTTCATGATATGTTTCAGATGATTTTGAAGTTGATTTTGAACCACAAACAAAGAAGGCGAAGCATAAAGAGAAGGAAATGAACAAAGAGAAGAAAGGCGAGAGAAGGTGTGACCCAAAATAGATTTTAATTTTGGCTAAAGGGCATCATGCTGTTTTACACAGATATTATAGTAGATCTCTAATCCTTTATAAGCCTTTGTTTTGCCTTGTGTAATCCAATGTACACACTAATTTCTTCAATGTGTGATACAACAACGTCATGAGATTTTTTCTATTGTAAGGCCTTCCGTTCGTGAAAAGTTGTACCAAAGAGATATAGAAAAAGCAATTGAAATGTCACTAATAAATACACCTTATGACAGAAAGGATAATGATGTTGGACAAAATGAAAGCAGTCATATCAAAATAAATAGTGAAGGTATCGGTATGTAAAATTATAAATGAAACTGTGAAAAGTGATTACATCATGAAAGATTACATCATGATCATGAAAGAGGAAAAAGGTTGGGAAGCTGCCCTAATCTACGCAGTAATGAAGTAAATCCAATTCAAACAATGATTTTAGAATTTTTAAAGTTTTTCATTGTTAAGCATTATATAATGCTGTCTTACATTGACCTCAAATTCACATTTTAGTAAGACTCTTTTTCCCATCACAAAGCCCTTAATTTTAAACTCATAATGTTTACAGAGTAATCAGTCAAAAGCACAAGTTTTGAAAATGACAACTTTGTTATACTGACCTAAATGAGGACAGAGAAGGATTTTCTCAGAGTTTTATAAACTAGTCACCACTCTTAGTGGTCTGAATTTAAGTGTTGAATTTAGGCACATAGTAGCATATATCCATCAATCACAGTTATAACTGGGTAGCCTTAAAATTAGGAATGTTTAAAGGTGCGGACATATGAAGGTGTGTATGGATGAAGGTGTGTATGGATGAAGGTGTGTATGGATGAAGGTGTGTATGTATAAGGGTGGGTATTTATAAAGTTAAGGATGTATCAAGTTGTGGATGCATGAAGGTAGGTTTGGATGCATGATGTTGGGGATGTACATATGAAGATAGTGATGTACCTATGAAGATAGTGATGTGTTGCATGTAGTACTACTTTTAATGGTGTGATGAACTTTCAAATTGACTTTTTGCATGGTATTGTAGAGTGTGATTCAAAATGAAAATACATGATCATTATTATGTAAGATGCAGTACCATGTACATATAATGCTGATTGCTCTCTTACTCATTTAATCTAATTAAGATGATGATGCACGCGACACCTGCGATGCACGTGACACCTGCGATAAGAGTAGTGCTAAAGTGAACAAGATTCATGACAATGATGTCGAAAGTGATTCCAATGAAGAGAAAATTGTGAACCTGAAGAACGGCAAGAAAATGTCTGGTGGAGTCATATGTTTTCCGGTAGGCTTTATTTTGTATTTATAAAATTGTCATTGATTTCAAGTGTCCTATTTGCATATAATGAAATAACCAAAATGCAGTTGGCATGATTATACAATCAAAATATCAAAACAGTTTGATACATACGTAATTGCATTTGCTTGCAGCTTGTCTTTCGTGTTATTTTTATTAGTTTTTCTCCTGGCGAGTGCTTATAATAACAAATTTTTGATACACATTTGTTTTAAAAAGAGTCATCCGACTACAAATGCACCCCTATTGTTGGTACAAAGGAGAAAAAGTCATCACGTATAAATTCTTCCAAAGAGAACGTTAAGCATTTGAAAGATGAAGGGAAAATTTCCACATTTTCTTACGTTGGTACAAAGGAGAAAAAGTCATCACCTATAAATTCTTCTAAAGAGAGCGTTAAGCATATGAAAAATGAGGGGACAATCTCAATATTTTCTTCACCTAAACTGTTTACAAACAAAACCAGTGGTTCTTTTTTTCTTGGCGGTGTTAAAATTAAGAATCCAGGTCCGCCATTACGTGTAGGGCTATCAAGAAACCATAAAGTAAAACCACTTCACAATAACGTTACGCTTTCTCAATAACAACTTACTTACACCAAAATATTTTATCTCTGTTTTAATAAAATATGTGAAATGAGTTGTAGGTGATTTGTAAATATTTCAATGTATAATAAACATTGTAATTATACACTAAAAAAAACTAAAAAGTATTTAATAAGCCTTCCTCCAGCCATGCTATATACCTATGAAGGGATTTTAGGCTATCACGTGATAATTTCCCAAAGCAATGTGGATACTCTCCCACTGTTCATTCTTGGGATTTTAGTTTTGGACCATAGTTTCCACAGTTCTTACTCTCTACATAGTCACTGACATTTCTTTAGCTGTAACCCACTTCACTAGCTAGTTCGCTTTTGGAGTAGCATTGATCTTTCGACCTTACCAATACCATTCCACGACATTCAACATTGATTCGTGGCTTTGGACGTATAATTCAGTAATTTGTCTAGATTCTTCTTATCCACTAAATAATTTTTTTTTCACTAAGTGCTGTTGGAATGAAGTTCGACTGTATATGTCTTAAAGTGAATGGTTTGAACCCGGGAACTCTGAACATGACTACCGCTAAGCTTGTCGAAACGTCAGTCAACATCAACACGTACAGTCCTTCTTAGGACTTTATTGTCATGGGTGATCTACATCTACACACATATATATATACGTCAAATGTCATTTGTGACTATTGTAGGACATCTAACCGTGGTTAAATATGATTAACAACAGAATGTAAATTTGTATTATAGGCTATAACGTCTTCCCAAATAAAATAAGAAAATTGAGCAGTTCTTTTTGACAGTTGAATGGTGAAATTATACGGTCTATTACAAATTGTAAGGGAGAGAAAGTCGTTTGAAACTTAGTTTTTGGCTTGCGCTTGTAGCCAACCATTGTATCATTTGCATATTTAAATTATTGGTTCTCTCTTGCACATTAAGTATATAACTTTCACGCAAATGCCCTCAAGAGCGTTAACTGTACCTCATAAAAATGTTTCTACCTTTTTCAAACTTATTTCTGATTCATTTTTGTATACAATACGTAATACAATTATATGTCTTTCAATACTCGCTCCTTAAACTTATCCATACTAAATTCCATCACTATTGTCTATAAAATGGTTTAAAAGTGGCAGGTTTGCATGTCTATACGACTTAAAACTTTTGCCATTAACCCTAAATGATGCCCAAGTATTGACATGCAAAAACTGGTATTTGCGATAGATTTCAATTGTCTCGGTTGCCTGTTTTGACCAAAACTTCCCAGTGATCTCAAATATATATGCATGTTCTACTTTGGTTGCTCCTAACAGTCGATTCATTTCAATTGAATTCATGATCCACGTTTAGATATACTAAAAGCATAGAAACCTACATTGTCTTGTATTTTTAAGCTTTTGTAAGTTATAAGAAAAATATGCATGTGTATGTTTTCAAACTTCCTTTGCCGAGGCATCCTTGTAAAAATCTCACTTTTGAAATATGTTTTTCTATATCTGTACATTATCATACATTAGGGCATTGTCAATCGCTTAAAAAATGTTTTGGGATAAAGAAACGACAGTCTCAACCTCAAGGCCAAAATATGTCAAATTGTCATTATACGAAGTCTGCATTCTGTACAGTTCTTGCTCGCTGGGTTAGATTGTCCATCTTCTAAATGTGTTTTTCTCGCGATATGACTCTAGCCAGTCACGTGCTTCTTTCATTGATGAATTCATTGGTCCCTGTCCGCCCACGTATGCGACTTTACCTTCTTCGATGGGGTAGAGTCTCTCAGGCAACGCTCCATAGGCCACATTTGCATTGTCGTCCATTGTATCTACCATTATTTGACTTGGAAAATTGAGTTCTTGTAGCTTTTGCGCGGCTTTGCATCTTTCATATTGATTTCGATGCTTTCGTACTTTGATAAAGTTATTCTAAAATGAAGTGAAATTAGCTTCCTTCATGACTTTATCAAGAAATCTTAAGACATGTTTTCTCTACACAAAAGATTGTCAAATAATGAAAGGGACGATTCTTTTCAAACAACATCTTTGTTTTGCCTAATGAAAGTATAGTTCAACAGAAGTTCACTATTTCTGCCTTTGAAAAGGTCCCATTTTATCAGTAAGATAAAAAAGCTATTAATATGTCAGCAGAACATATTGTCTGGCTATATAGCCTACTAAAATGTTATGAGTGTTTGCAAAAGATTTTTACCTGATGAAATTTATATGCTTCGTTATTATTATTATGGTTATACAAAGAATGTTTTATAAATCACGAAATTGCTGTAGCCGTTTCTTTCATGTTATACTGGAAAACTATTCTTCATAATGAATAACGTAGCTATAATATAACTCTACGATTTTCATCAATTCAAAATTATGTTGAAGAAATAAAAGAATTTACCTTGAAAGACCATCCATCAATTGGGTGAGCTTCTTCAATATATACAACGACAAAATCCACGATATCTGAAAAATCTTGAGCTATAACACCAAATTCTTTCAGTTTATTCATAAACACTGGGCAACTACAACTGCCAAAGTACACGACTAATGCTCTCTCAGCTTGAAGTAAATCAAGTAAACGCACACATTTCTTTCCATCGGGTGTTAGCAAGGGAACATTTTGTGCCTCCAGTCCGTTTCGCATTTCCTTTGTAATATCGACAACTCTTAATTTCCAAACTGACTTAAACATTTCCCATCCAAGAAATGTTTCCCAGTACTTGGTTTTGGGATATTTAATCCGGTCACTTTTCTCATACCATTCTCGAGCACAAACCCTAAACCTAGTTATTCATGAAAATCATAAAACATTAATCATGATCATTTTGACAGAAAAAAGGAAGAGATGCCATATATTGGTGTGAGAGTTAGTGCACCATTATAAGGCTTTTTTTGTGTGTGAAAGGACGTACTTGTTTATCAAGACAATATGTATGTGATTAGAAAAACGTTTTATGGTTGATTGGACAAGCAGCACAAAGCCCACATTTGAATTTAAGAACAGTCCAAATGCACACAAAATTTTATGTTGCCCAAAATACGTATGAACTATCTGTCTAAAATAAGATTGTATTACATTTGTATCTATATACGAGTATCCATAATGTATATGCCATTTTAAACTACGAATTCCGAAATTTTATGTGAACTTGTAAAAGCAATTTGATCTACCGTTACTAGCTTGTCCATTGTTCTGCGAGGTCTAAATTTTAGGCCCCCTTTACAGAGCTTACAAGCTTTTTACTTCTGCTATCTGTATATTTAGTTTATAAAATTTTACATCTGTAAGGTTTGTAAATTTTAGCTTGAGCTTACTTGCCTTCATTACAGGAAAAAATGACCGAAGAAACGAATGATTGTTATGGTTAAGGCGTGACATGTAAACAACGTAGGTTTCTCACCTGGAATATAATAAAATATGCTACAAATAGCAAAAATGACTGTTACTTCAACGGTAACCCAACATTTAACTGCGATCCTGTACATGTTTTCACCTTTCATGACTGTCTTGAGTGAAGTTTATGTGACTGGGTAGATTTCGATTCATACATTTATTGTATTTGAAAGTTCTTAATTTGCATCTTTATTCTTTTAAAAAGCGTAAAATCACGGTATAATATTTCCTGTTCTCTGTTTTCATGGGACATTTCAAATGCCAGGAATAACTGAATACACATGAATAACGGATCAACAACCAGAAATTTTCTCTCACAAAAAATTTCCATGCCTAATCGTTGAAAGAAAAGTAAAATGTATGCGAGACATGTTTTGAAAATTTCGTGCAAAGAAATCATGTCATAGCAAAATAACATGTAATAAACTTTAATATTCAATGCGAATGACGTAGATACGATAGTGTTAATCACGCTCGTAAAATGACCACTATTGTGTTTGATAGTTTCATCCGTGCCAGCAAATGTTTGTAACGATGGAAAACATCAAGGAAGAAAATTCAGAACATTCTTTACTCTATATAGGCATAGACGTTTTAAAGCATTTTTATATTTAATGAATGCAATCGAACTTACCGTAAAAGGACACCCTTGAGACCAAGACTTGGTGTTCTGTTGTCGGAGGTGTCCGCTTATGAGATGTTTGTTAATTTTTGCATAATTATAAAAATTTTTTTAAATATGACTGTTTTTACAATGTTTTGAAATATGATTATATGCTTGATAACGACTGAAAAGTCCAACATCTGTACAGTGAAACGTTTGAGTCCATAGACGTTATCATATAACAAATTCATCATGTATATTGTCATTGTACAGACACAATGCTTAAAGTTCACATGACATGAAAAAATTTTCTTTGAGGAACATAAATGCGCAAACCTGGAGAAGAAACTATAGTGGTTCATGAAGAAAAATGAAGGAGACGAAGGAATTTACATGCATTACAAAACAACATCTATTTATATACCGTAATATGTCAATTAGTTGGGATAATTACTAATTTGACTGAAAATAGATCAAGTGCAACCGCTTACAACAGTTTATAATGTTGTTTGTGAAAGTTGTTTTGGTATTCACCTCCGCTAACGAAAGGTCGTAAATGTGTCTTCATGTACAAGAGGTCTTGGCTTTTGAGAAGTGTCTAAGTTTCTTGACTGTATACTCCTTTGTTCATACTGTGTCAACCCTAAATATGGTTTTTAATTATTATATGGTATATTTATGAATATATAAAAAATTTTTATTCAAGTTGTGTGTTTCTCAGTCAAATGATTTTCGACAGATGAGAGTAGAAATATGACATTAAAGATCAGCCGATATAAAGACGGTGGAGGTAGTAGGAGAATAGAAGTAAAACATCAGTGATCGAACAGTATAAAGCTAGGACCATAGAGGTAGGAGAATACAAGTAAAACATTAGTGATCGAACAGTATAAAGCTAGGACCATAGAGGTAGGAGAATACAAGTAAAACATTAGTGATCGAACAGTATAAAGCTAGGACTATGGACGCCAGGCTCATCTTTGCTCTCATTTCCCTCTGTTTTACGATTATCGTAAATTTTTCAAGCTAATAGTTCATTTACATTCAGTTAAATTCACTTTATCTCCTCGATAAAAAGCAACTTTTAAATTTATGTATAGTGATTATGAATATGTTAATTAAGGATTGTGCTTGACCCGCAATTAGAATAATATCAATAGGTAAATTGAAGACTTGTTAATAGTATTTTGTCTTTTTAAAATTAAATCCATATGTACGCTATACGTACTTTTTTTCTTAATCTGCCCGTACTCGCACGGTCAGCGGCTAATCACTACGTGAAATGTGGTTGTATCTAACATCTTTTAGTAACATCGGGCATCGCATAATAAGGCCTGTTTCAAGCGTTAAATTTTGCATTTTCTCGAATACAATTTGGCGCTCGCGTTTTGCTCACAACAAAGTCTGGAACGCGATAAAGGAAAGGCGTCGATAACAGTTTGTGTAAAATGGTCACTTGGTCAATTCCTGCATTTATTGCCAGAAATATTGTACTTTGTTGACATCTAGCTTTTTCAACTTGAGTAGTGTATCATGCTCTTAAAACAGAACATTCAGACAATTTTACAGGTTCATTTGTCTGCATCGATTTAACATGAACTATTTGCTAATCAGTTCAGTAAAGTTCCAATCAATAAATTGTGAATACGAGGAAACTGATTTTTCATACGAAATTGGTCGTACAGCTGTCGTAAAAAGGCAATGGATAAAAGTCATATTACAAAGCGCAGTTTAAATACAGATTACCTTTAAAGAACTTCCACTGACTTTTCTTTTGCATGCAGATTTAATCAGTTTGTATCTGTTTCTTTTTCTTTCGATGAAATAACAGCAACACAGACCTCTCAATAACGTCCATAGATTACTTTGTGATGTTTTTTCTGACGATGTAATTGTTTGGTTCAATAGTCCGTTAAGGATGAATTAATTTCCAGGCATCCAATGCAATTTTCTTTTGTCGCACCCTCAAAAATAAGACACTGTGTCACACTCAGTTAATGGATGGAATAATAGCTGGCTTAAAGATCTGTTAAAGCTAGGAAAGCTTGCTATGTCGTATTTTGGGACATTTTTAAATTTTCTTTTCCGAGCCATAAATTATTCAAAGTTTTTCAAAATCGATAACATTCTCCAGTGAATCTATATTGAATACAAGATAAGATATTCCGTACAATATCAACTTTATTTGTTGTCTCAAACTGTTTCGGGAAGTACAAGATAAAGTCGGTGGTAATGTATTCTTTAAATGTTCATAAAAGTATTGGCGGAAGCATTTTTTCGATAGCAGCACTATAAACCACCTGGTGACATGCAGTACAAAGTATATAATTAAATCCATCTGTTTTTAAATGACGTGTCATGCTCTATGATATTGTCGTGTTGAACAAGCACTTTGATTAGTCTGCTTGTTGGCATGTTCATAGCTGCTCAATAAAGATAGTTTTATAGGTTGGTTTTTGTAGTAAGTCACTCTTTGAAGTATCTCTTACTTTGCTGGCAAATTATGAACGCGAAACCAAAAAAACAGTCAGTCTTTAACAAAGGAGTTTTGGCCTTATTTTTCAAATAGATTTCTTAGTGTGTTTGTTGTTCAGTTATTTTTCTGCATCAGATCTATGATTGCATGATTGGTAGAGAAGTCAATAGGATTGAGTGACATTTGAATGTCCACAGAAAAGGACATTAGCAACGAATTCTTTGTAACAAATAGTTTACATTGCTACATGACAACATATTTTATTAAAATCACCTCTGTCAACTATTGAAAGTTTAACTCTGTAATATATCAAAAACTATTCGGTTGAACAATAGCAAAATTATAATGAAATTTCTTACTTTGCAGAGATCCATACATTGTAAATATAGTCAATTGAAATTTACAAAACAGCTTTTCAGCTGCTAGAAGAAAAACTAATTTATTCTCCCACACAAACAATTTTAAAATTTAAATATTAAAGCAGCAGGTAAAGCGTTTCTATTATGCTGCGTAAATGCAAGAAAAATATTATAAGGCATCATGCATAGAGAATTTTCTAAAGTATTTTGGATGGATGTTAAAGCATAAAAGATGAATAAATTGGGTTCATTGATACCTGACGAAGCAAAATTTATTAGAAACATAATGAATAAAGTACAATCACTAAAAAGGCGTGTTAGAGCCACATCTACGTCCTATGACTTCTCTAACTGGCTTCTCAAACCTAAAAATTCACAACTCTTGTTGACGTTGCGTGACTCAAAGAAGAGAATGAACAATATTATATGCGTGTCTTCGTGAGAATTTCAATGCAAATTTAAAGCACGCTAATATAATTACGTCAATGGAATTAAGCTGTTGAATAATTTAAACATTAAAAGAATTTTTTAAGAGGTGTTTTATTTTTTGCAATCAGTATTAAATATTCCCTGTCACACAATCTGACTCAAAAGCAACGTAACAAAAGAGACATTTCTTTGCAGATTTTTTCAGAAAGCGTTTTATTGTAGAAACTGAATAAATTTGAGAGAATGTTTTGCATTCAATGACAATGTAATATTTTTAAAAACGAATTGTAGAAAAATCATTATTATTTTCAGAAAACTTGTTCAAAAGTATAATCTAATGACGTACATTTATACATATTGCACAAGTAATGGGCCCAAAGAACTTAGATTTTACATTATGTTAAAAAGACACAAACATACGTAGTACGCCAAAATTTATGATAGAAAAATAAAAAAGTATGTGCAGAAACTTTGCTTTTATACATTCGGTGAAAACGAAAAACACTTACCTGTATGAGGATTGTAACTTATGAAATTGTAAGTCTTAATTTTCTCTGAAAATGTTTAGGAGGAGTCGCAACCATTAATTTTTCTTTTGTCCTTATTTTCCGCATCTTGAGAGGAAAGGGAAGTAATACGTTAAAATGAACTAAATTTGTTAAAAACATTAGAAATTAAAATCATGTGAAATGTAATGTATAGAGATAATTACCTAAGAAACTAACGTTGTTTGAATATGATGTACTTTGGAAAGTTTATGTTAGGTTAAGTAAAAAGGGTAAATCATATTATAATGAGCTATAGAATTAAACAAAAGTTGCTTATAGACAATACTCCTTTTTGGCTTTATAGTATTTTATCTATGAACGGAAACTAACATCTGCAGTGCACATTTTTCTTTTAGTTTATAGAGACACTTGAAATAGTTGACCAATTTGAATAACGTCAAAATAAACATATTTTTCCCGGGTGTTGTTATAAGGAATTAAAATAATTTGGTCTGTTATTTTCAATGTAAATGGTATTTCTTCGAATTGTTGAAACAATATTTTGTTGCATATTTTTTCTGACACTAAATTTCTGCAATTACGGCTCTTTATCCAAAATATAATTGAAAATCATCAAAATTTGTGTCCCCGTCCACAGAAAAGTACTTGTCTTGTGTTGATATCAAAATTCAAAAGCCAATATTACTAGCACTTAAGGACAAGACAATTTCTGCTTCAGGTATATTTTTTCTAAGCTGCTGTTTGAGAAGAATAGAAAATAACTCGTCCGAACTCAAAAGAGAAATTTCATTGATAGCCACATAGCGTCTTCAATGGTAAGTAAGGAAAACATAAAGAAAACCTAAAATTCAGAGCCTATCACATAATTTAAGAACAATAGCTCTTATGTATTAAACTTCCTTATGAAGATCATACATTTCATTTATCATAGTCATGCTTATACTTAATCCAACAGATAATCTAACACAATCTTTATCTTATAAAATACCTAAAGCATTATGAAACACTTTTGTATGTTTTTTAAACATTTTCTATAGTTAAGAATAGCGCAGCCATGCATCATATATACATAGCTGCCATTTGGTAATTTGACTAATTTAAAATTCTTAAAAAACTTTTACTGTTTCGCAAATCTTTTATCATTTTATATTTATCCTTATGATGAAAACAAAACGAATTGATTGATCACAACCAATGATAAAGTTCTACTAATTGATATTTATGAATGTCTGGAAATGTATTATATCATATTTCCATTGATACGACAGAAAATAGTAGCTACATCAAAAATATTTGAAGCAACCATCATTAAGTATTTTGTTCTGAATACAGATAACAAAAAATGTTTTCCAACTATCATAGACATTTAAAATTATAAAATATTTGCAAAGTGTTTTGCGTTTTACATGAGAATGATAGTAAACTAAAACTTGAATGCATGTTGATAAAGAATATTTGATTGGACATTAAAACTAAGACTTATGTTTGAGGGAAATGATAAAGAAAGAGAGGTACATAATTCAACAAATTGAAATGGGTAAATCATCATCAAACATCAATACAGAAGTCATTTTAAAAGCAAGGAATGCATGCAAAACAAATGATACATTTTTCGTCTCTTGTTTCTTTTGCTACAATTATTCAATATTGCAAGAATATTTTGACAGATGGAAAATGCCTTTTAATTGTCTGAAACAAAATATTTGAAGAATTAAAACTTTTGATACTTAAAGTTGAATTCCTCTATTTAGTTCTTTAGACTTTTTACATTAGCAATTCTGTCGAAATGCTCATAAATTTCATTCAATTCAGAACTTATATAATTATGAGAGTCGAACTTCTCTTTACGACTGACAGATGTTGTAAACAGAATATCATGTATATCATAAAATGTAAGTCGAAAATTGTGCTCTGAAAATGTAAATGAGGGGGTCTGCAACCATTAATGTGTCTTTTTGTCCTTATTTTCTGCATTTTTGAGAGAAAAGAGAATGAATACATTGAAATAAACTAAATTTATTAAAACATGAGAAATTAAAATCATGTGAAATGGGATGTATAAAGATAATCACCTAAGAAACTAGCCTTGTTTGAATTTGATATACTTTAGAAAGTTTCATGTTAGGTTAAGTAAAAAGGGTAAAACATATTATAATGAGCTATCAAAATTTAACAAAAGTTGCTTATAGACAATACTCCTTTTTTGCTTTATAGTATCTTATCTATGAGCGGAAACTAGCATCTGCAGTGCACATTTTTCTTTTAGTTTATAGAGACACTTGAAATAGTTGACCAATTTGAATAACGTCATCATAAACACATTTTATCCCGGGGTGTTGTTATAAGGAATTAAAATAATTTGGTCTGTTATTTTCAATGTAAATGATATTTCTTGGAATTGTTGAAAAAATATTTTTGTTGCATATTTTTTCTTACACTAAATTTCCGCAATTATGGCTCTTTATCCAAAATATGATGAAAGATCATCAAAATTTGTGTCCCCGTCCACAGAAAATTACTTGTCTTGTGTTGATATCAAAATTCAAAAAGCCAATATTACTAGCACTTTAGGACGAGACAATTTCTGCTTCAGTTGTATTTTTTCTAAGCTGATGTTTGAGAAGAATAGAAAACAACTCGTCAGAAGTCAAAAGAGAAAATATATTGATAGCCAAATTGCCTCTTCAATGGTAAGCAAAGAGAACATAAAGAAAACCTAAAATTCAGAGCCTATCACATAATGCAAAAACAATAGCTCTTATGGATTTAACTTTCTTATCAAGACCATACATTTCATTTATCATAGTCATGCTTATACGTAATCCAACAGATAATCTTATACAATCTTTATCTTTTAAAATACCTAAAGCATTATGAAACATTTTTGTATATTTTTTTAAACATTTTCTGTAGTTTAGAGTAGCGCGCCATGCATCATATATACTTAGCTCCCATTTGGTAATTTGACTAGTCTAAAATTTTTTAAAAATCTTTTACCGTTTCGCAAATCTTTTTATCATTTTATGTTTATCCTTATGATGGAAACAAAAACGAATTGATTGATCACAACTAAAGATAAAGTTCTACTTATTTATATTTATGAATGTCTGCAAATATATTATATCATATTTCCAGTGATACCCCAGAGAAAATAGTAGCTACATCAAAAATATAGGAAGCAACCATCATTAAGGATTTTTTTCTAAATCGAGATAACAAAAAAATGTTTGTTAACTATCATAGATATTTAACAATGACAAAATATTTGCAAATGTTTTTACGTTTTTACATGAGAATGATAGTAAAATAAAACTTGAATGCATGTATGATAAAGAATATTTGATTGGACATTAAAACTAAGCTTTAGGATTGAGGGGAATGATAAAAAAAGAGAGGTACATAATTCAACAAATTGAAATGGGGCAAATCATCATCAAACATCAATGCAGAAGTCATTTTAAAAAGCAAGGAATGCATGTAAAACAAATGATACATTTTTCGTCTCTTGTTTCCTTTGCTACAATTATTCAATATTGCAAGAATATTTTTGAAAAATGGCAAATGCCTTTTAATTGTCTAAAACAAAATATTTGAAGAAGTAAGAATTTATTTAATACTGCAAATTTGCATTCCTCTATTTAGCTTTTTAAATTTTCTTTACTTTTGCAGTTCTGTCAAAATACTCATAAATTTCATTCAATTCAGAATTTATATAATTATGAGAGTCGAACTTCTCTATACGACTAACAGATGTTGTAAAGCAGAATATCATGTATTGTTTAACGGCCTTCATTTCTGTAACTAAACGACATGTAGTTACAGAAGGCCAGCGAGTCTGTTAAACACTGCGCAACAGATTATTTGGCATTTAATTTTGCTGGCTTAGTTAAGCAATACGTCTTTCCCATTCATCTGGTAAACTGAGTTAACATGAGCAAATTTGAAATCAACCCATTTTAAATTTTTCTAAACCGCTCTTGGTGAATTTCATATATTGCGTCATTTCCTTATAGTGGACATTGAAATGTTTTATTTCTTTCTATGCTTTCGTTTCCTAGAAACCTTACATCTATTTATTCAAAACACGTTCTAGGCGGGTGAACTCTACTTATTGAATTGTAAACATGAGTCTTTATAATGAACAATTTGTCTAATCTATTGCAACAATATCCAATCATCATAAATTATCTGAAAGCAAACGTGAAAAGGAGAAGGAAGTTAAAATGTTACATAATTATAGAAATCAATACTTGATTTATATACCAAAAAAGTTTAAGAACAAATGATTATATGATTATATTGATGATAAGCCTTTCATAAATAAAGTAAATGTTTTACTACAAAAGCTTTAAAGAAATTAGTAATCGTCCACCTTCTAATAAATAGAAAATAAAGATGATATCAAGCTCAACAAAAGCGTTTCTTGGGACTCTCATAATCCTGTCTATTAGTGGCCAAATAGTAAATGGTAATGACGACATATCAATCTGCAAGAAAAGCTTAGAGACATTAAAAGACAACGTGAAAGAATGGATGGAAACTTGCGTTGATAAAAATGGCAATGACGATAACACAACTGCATGCAAGGAAGTAAAACAATACAACAAAGAAATGATGCAAATGCAAACAGAAATGTGTTTTTACAAAGGTATAATCTTTGACAAATTTTCATAGTTTCTTGTTCATAGCACCAAAAACAATATTCAACAAAAATAGGTAGAAGTTGTGCAGCCAATCTAATTTCAGTTATTAGTAATATTTCTACAGTGAAAAATTCTTTCTAAAAATACTTATTCTGGTCTTTCACAAAATATTATGATCGTAAAGTCTATAAAAATTTGCATTTTTAAAATCCACTTTCATCGTTGTTATTTATAGTTTTTTTATTATTTATTTAGATGTTTATCCAAAGCCATATTTGATTATTATGAGCTTTGATAAAATATACTCTGTTGATTCTATTACTGGAGATATTCATGTCAGCACTATTAATGGTTCCAGTAAAAATAAATCTGACCATGCATCAAGATATAATGACATAGAGATTGATGTACTTGAGAATGTGCTTTACTACATTGATGACAAAGACATCAAACGGGGAAATCTTGACTTGACTAGAAACGAAATTTTTGCGAAAAATGTTTCTGTTCATGATATTACAGTTGACTGGATTGGTCGTCGTATCTTTTATTGACTCCACGAACATTATCTACCAAATTTATTTGAAAAATAAAATTACAAGTGTTATGAGGCTTCAACCAGGCTTACAATTTTCCAGCATTGCATTTGACTCAAAACATGGGTAAGGCGATATTGAAATTCTTTTTTTACTTGTAAGCGTAAAATTAATAAACTATGTCAATCTATTGGAGGGTTTTCTTAAGTAAGGTAAGAGTTTTTGTTTTTAGAGACGGTGTTTTAATTTAATAGAAAAGTTGAATTTTATAAGTCCGTATTATGGTTTGTTATTTAAAGGTTTAATAATAGAAAAAAATATCGATTTTCCGGGAAATCAAAACTCGGTTTTTCCCAAGGGAGCGAATATTAAGTATTTTGTTGGCTATAAAGAAACAAACGTCATATAGTTCGACAGATTTTTATTAAAATCAACGTCTTTCGGAGAGATTTGGCCAGCAAAATTTTATTGCGTGACTATAAGGCATTTCAAACCAACTGCAATAATGAACACGTTTCGTGTGATTATTCAGCACACATGCAGTAGAAAATAACATGCAGATCCTGAAATTTCAAAATCGACAGCGATATTTATGTTGAGCAACCAAAGAGCTTTGAAAAAAGGTAACAACGGAGGGATCAATGTTTATATATGATGAAGTCATTAAATGAAATAAAACAGAGCGTTAGAAACTGAAATAAATATTAAATAATTACTTTGCACATAAAACTTTAGTCAAATACTCACAGAACCTTGGCTTTCCACAACCTACAAAAAGTAGTACAACTTCACTGTGCAACTTAGTGTTGTACATTTAATTCCATTACTTGTTTAGGCTGGCCACCTAAGAGCGCTTTTCTTTGTCAGAAAATGCAATTTGCTTGACGCCTCCATGGTAATCATATGCTTAATAAGATATGCCCTACACATAAGATTTCAACAAATTGGGAGCATTGTTTGTTGCTATACTTTGCTCTTTTGTATAGTTTTTTGAGGCAGTGTAAGAGATGTGCAACAATCTCAATACGGAATGGCAATAAAGTTTTAAAATATTCCCGAATGTGTTGAACGTAAAAAACTTCAACTTTTCGTTTTGTAATGAAGATAAAAAAACTACACACATTCCCACGTAGTTACATGAAAAATATAAAATGGATTTTAGTTTTCAAAAATGTGGCAATTTAAAAAACATAAAATATATCAAGTTTATAGTTTTTCAAGCCTTCTTTAACTTGCATTGAATGGCAGAGTATATTGAAAAGTCGAGAGCTGCAAATTAAGTGGCTGCACACTTCCCTTTAATAAGTCCAATCACACATCCAATCAAATCACCTGAATGGAAAATCATTCCACTACCTTTATTTCATGCAGTGTTTCTTAGTGTAGCTTAGGCAAACGTTAGGTCTGTAGCTGGTCCACTGATGATGAATCTGAAGATAATAATCATGTGATTAAAAGAAATTGGCTTAAAAGCCTTGTGGAGCGAGAACTTTCTGAATATGTTATAAATAATTTACGACTTTAAAATAATTTCCTCTTACTAACGATTCCTATGAACTCTCCATTCATGAGAGCCTTCTAATAAATAAATACAAGCCTCCACTCTTCGTGCAAGGAGGTTCCACTCCACTTAACCTCTCTTAACTTCACTAAATTTTACTTCCCAACTTCTTTATTATGTAATCCGTTTGACACCGCCTCCTTTAGTCGTAATTTAACACCTTTTGTAAATACAATATCTTCTCTTAAAATCTCATTTTAAATTATTACTTGCCTGAATATGTCTTGAGTAAGGACGAAATGTCAGTATAAATTCAATTTTACAGCTTTTGGTCTATTTCTATAGCTCTAATTAAAACTATATGTTAGGCATTAATTGTTATCATATTACAAGAAAAAATTAAGTTTCACGAACACACAAAGCCAAAAGAACGGTCATATATACGAGAAAGTTTTTAAAGAGTTCGGGGCAAGTAGCAATGAACGACAATACCACATGGACTTTACTGTTACTCAAATGCGTAATACATTTAAGAAATGTATTGGAGAATGCAAATATGCTGCGATGATTATCAAAACTACCAGTTGCATCAAACATTTTCGATAAAGTAAAGGCCATAGTGTTCAAGCAGTTTTTGCAGCTTGTCCAATCCAAAGATTCTAAAAAACACGAACATGACATGGCGATAGAATCATCATTTTTAAATGATACCAATAGCGTTAGCTCCAGTGTCAATCTTCTTCTGATTTTTCAGAAAAACAATGAAAAAATTTGACAATTAAAAAGAGAAGGTTAAGATAGTTATAAAAAATCGTTTGTCCAAACAAACAGAAAAAAAGTATCAACAAAAGACAATGTTTTTGAAGCTATAGCTCTTTTAAAAACATTTGTGGATGATGATCCATCCAAGGAGCTGCTAATTTTCATGCAAGATGAAACTGAAAAATTAAGAAAGCTTAAAATTGAAATGACAAAGCTTTCTTAATTTTATATCTACATGAAATGGTGCATAACATTTACCAACACCAAATTTTCAATTCGAACAAAAATTCCACGCATCAGCTAATTTTCAGCATTATCAATTACCAACACAATTCATTCAGCAGCCACTCCAAACTACAGCATTACTCATTCCGACAATAATGTCAAACAATACCAATCATTATAGAAGTTATGTGAATAAAATAACGTATTACATTTATTAGTATGTTCTGAACCACATGCAATGTTTAATTACTTCATATATTTTAGTTCGGTTTTAAAGAGAGATTTCAAATGATAAAGGTGATCTTTTCCTGTTAGTTACAATAGCGTTATGTTGCTATATTATCAAATTTTTTGAATATGCTCCATTAAACCGTCTATATATGAAGGTAGTTCTGAATACTTTGACAACATCTTTGTCTTAACAAAAAAAGTATTCTATCTTTCCTTTCTTGCACATATTAGCCTGCCAATTGTTTATGTATTTCAGTACGTATAGAGAAAACTAATGTACAAAACAAATATTTTTATTAAGGTATCTATTCTTGGCAGAAAGTACAGAACTTTTCTTATGGTTATGGAGCATGACTGCAAATAAACATCATATTCGTTCAGTTTCACTTCAGTCAATAGCACATCATCTAACGCTTGACATGGCTAAAGAGAAGATTTATTGGCGAAGTTCAAACGGAAATATTTTTTCCTATGTTTACTACTCCCAAAATGTAACTGATTTTGGAACTTCACGAGGTCCCATGGCAGTATTTGGGGATTTCATTTATATCATAACTAGTGTTGGACGAAGTGTCGTTAGTGTCCATAACACAACAGATCAACGTACGAGACGTAAATATTTTCTTCCTGTAAACAACAGTTATCTTGATTTGGCTGTAGCAATACACAGTATCACTCCTGACTCAAACGGTAGTTAAATATTTACTTATTTGACATAATAATCTAAGACTTGCAAAACTCCCACGCTAATGTTCATAAAATAGAAAGACGTTAAAAGTTCAAAGTTACATTGCCTTAGTAAACGGTTGTTCTTCCTTCCAAAATTATAAAAAATTTGATGAACATTAAGTTCAAAGTGCAAAGTGTCTAATTTGGACATTTTTGCCGTTTGTCTATTCTTATCAAACTTCTTGGGTGTTAAATTTAAGTCTTTATTGTTTCTTACATCATTTAAACAATTACTTGGGCTTGAAATCAGTCTTAAATAAAAAAAATCATGAAAATAGATTGAAAAACGTCCAAATTGAGCATGTTGTGCAGTGAGCTTAATGTTTATCAAATTTCTTAAAATTTCAGTATATTGCAAAACAGAGTTTAAACTTTTACATCTTTGGATTAAACTAGATTTGAAACTTTTCATTTTCTTTGTGCATGCTGTTTAAATTGAGGCGATTACGAAGTACTCACATGGTTTTTGAGATTAGTTTTTTCATTCATTTTACTTTAAATAAACAAGGCAAAGCCATGCCAAAATATATGAGCTTTGACACATTTTGTGAGAACTACTGATGAATTGATAATTTTCTGAACATTTTTCAATTATCTAACTTCTTTAGTATATCCCTTATAGTGTCCCAAACAGCCAGCAAATTTGTTCATACTCTGTAAATTTTCAACATTTATTTAATTGTTTTGTTTTTACGAAATGCGCGAACACCAAAATTACCAACATTGCATAACAAACTTGCTTGCTGGGTACGTCAACGTGGATACTGAGTGATAATTTGTGTTCTTTGAGGAAGAATATGTTTCGTTTAGAATCCCTGGTTGATTTTATTTTTAATTTTATTGATCGATATAGCGACAAGCACTTTTCACTTTCCTTTGTGTGGACCCAACACATACTATCGTAAAATTAATGGAACATTGAACTGCACGTGTATGGAAGGATACTTTGGAGAATGTAACTCGTGCCACGGTATGGATTTATTACTGTCTTTATCAAGATTTTTTATCACCGATCATTAATAAGGAGCATCTCTGTGCAGTTTTAAAACTTTGTTCTTTGTTGAGAATCCTGAGCTGTTCTCTGTGCTGTTGCTTCTGTGCAAGGAATTTGCTGCATCTACATTTTACATGTAACCACAAAAATAAGGCTCACAGCCACACATACAAGTTCATTATTACCAATACAATCAAGCAGGAAATCAGTAATAAATTTATGAAAAGCTTCAATACACTTAAAACTTCCTAAGCACACAACATTGAAAGTGTATGGTTCTCTAAATGACAATAGCATATGTTAACATTAACACATTTTGAGTTTCTCTACATTAAGGAGGGGGTAGGGTTAGGGTTTGGGTTAGGGTTTG